TCTTTCAGGGGATGAATATCTGCTTGTATTTGGAAAGAGACCCGTTATCTTTTACAACAAAGCAGTGGCTTCAGATGAATCAAATCATACAAAGTTTGATCCAAAATATAGTCTACAAATTGTACCTCTTATCCTGACTGTCTGAATTTTGTTCATGAAATCTTTAGAAAAATTCTCTGAATTCACTCAATTTATTATTATTAAATTGCAGTAATTCCAATAATGAAAACATATAAACCATCAATCTAATAATATTTTGTTGACTAAAAATAGAAGTGGAGCAATTATGACCTACAATTGGTACATAAACAATTATCTCTGTATAGAAAGATAAAATATGAAGATGACCAAAATCTTGTGTTTTGGTCTCACAATGTATGTCTTCTGAAAGCATCTGGCAGAGAGAATCAGGTAGATATTTCCTTTTTATTTCCATTAGCTGAAGATAGGTGATACACGGTTATACATAATTTCAATCCATTTAAATTTATGGATTTATTTTTGACCTAGAATTTGGTCTATCTTAAAGAACATTATACATATGCACTTGAGAGAAAATTGCTCCCTGTCATAGTAGGTACAATATTCTAAAAATTTTCAGGTATTGTTGGTTTAGAGGTTTCTATTTATTTTCTGACATTCTGTTTAGCTTTTCTATCTATTGTTGAATGTAGGATTTGAAAGCCTTCAATTGCTAATATTGCATACCCCTGCAAATGCCATGATTTTGTTCTCTTTTAATGCTGAGTAATATTTCATTGTGTATATATACCATAGTTTTCCTATCCATTCATCTACTGAAAGGCATCTGGATTGGTTCCATAATTTAGCTATTATGAATTGTGCTACTATAAACATTTGCAAGTAAATGGATGGAGTTGGAGAATATTATGCTAAGTGAAGTAACCAATCCCAAAAAACCAAAGACTGAATGTTTTCTTTAATATGAGGATGCTGACTCACAATGGGGTTGACGGAGGGAGCATGGGAGAAATGGAGGAACTTTAGATAGGGCAAAGGGGAGAGTGGGATAGGAAAGATGATGGAATGAGATGGACATCATTACCTTAAGTACATGTATGAAGACATGAATGGTGTGAGTCTACTTTGTTTACAACAAGAGATTTGAAAAAATTGTGCACTACATGTGTAATATGAATTGAATTGCCTTCTGCTATCATATATAACAAATTAGAATAAATAAATATTTTTTTAAAAAAAATTGCATACCTCTCTTGCTCCTTTTAATTCTGTCATTTTTTGATTTGCATATTCTGTGCTCTATTGTTGGGTACATATTGATTTAAGTTGTTATACTTTCCTGATAAGTTGTCTCTTTATTCATTATGAAATGCTTCTTCCCCAGAAAAAATTCCATATTTTAAAGTTTGCATGGGCTGCTATATGCAGATACAGATGTGTATCTCCATCCTTTTACTTTGAAACTATTTAAGAGGATATGGTTTCTGAAACATTTTTATGGTTTTTGAATTTTAAGTTCTTGTTTGATAATTTGGACAATATAAACTGAGTTTTAAAGTTAGTTAATTATGTCATTGCATTCAAATTAAATTTTCTTGATTCTTGGTATATTGTATGATGGAATTTTTATGTAGTAAGATAATGTTGGTCCTATTTAAATATTTATGAAGCAGCTATTCACCTTGTTTATGTTAAGCACATGGGCTTTTGTCTACTCTTCCAGGCTATAGTTAAAATATTTCATAGTTGTTAGTGTCATTTTGATCTGATGGGTTACCTTGTGCCACTGGTTTCCCACTGCTCCTACAAGCGTGTCCAAGCATATAGGATGAGTTTAATCATCCCATCTACTGTGCATCATTTGGGATGGATAATGGTGCATTGAGAGTTCCTACCTTTGTCCCTCAACTGCTGAGCTATCTCTTAGAGAGGGCAGGAGAGTCAGATTCATGAGAGCAGATTCTTTCTGAACCTGAAAACCTCTCTCTTTAACTTACAGATAAATCAGAAGACAAGTCCCATTGTAAATCAGAAAAACATTTTGGACTGAGTAATAAAGTACAAAAAAAGTGTGTAAAATCACTGAAGTAGTAATTATAGAAAAAAATTATACTTTTTAATAATATTTACATTTAAAAAATAAATGTTCTAAACTTACAAAAAACATAAAGAAAGAAAAATAATCACAAAGTGACAGGAATGAAGAAAAGTGAAGGTAAAAGTAGGATCAACTTAATTAAAAATTGACACATTTAAAAAAATTAATAATACCTCAACTTGGCATTTTGAACACATCAACAAAAAGAATAAATTTTAGCTAGATTGATCAAGAATAATAAGAGAGATATTATAAATTACCAAGAGGAATTATGAATCAACACTGAAATCCTAGAGATATTAAAAATATCAAGTGGATATTGTGAGCAATGAATACCTATAAATCCACAAAATGTTGAAATAAAGAATTCCCTGAAATATACAAATTATCAGGCTGACTCAAGGAAATATGAATATTGCTATATATAATAAAGAAAGCAAATTCATAAATTCAAACCTTTCCACCTAGAAAACAATAAGCACAGATATCTGTATTACTAAGTTCTATTCAATATTTAGACAATGTATTTATAGGTAACTTAAGAAAACAGTGCTAGTCTAGGTACCTGGCTCCCAATACTTTACTCCAAATGAATAACAAATGAAAAAAACAAAAGAAATAAAGAAATGAACCTAGGCAAGAAAGGTAAGATATGAAACAACTTCAATAGCAAACTCCAAAATTGCTAGGAGAGATGAATGCCCCACTCTCAACAAACAAAATTAGATAACAAAAGAAACAGTAACAAATCTCACCACTCCTATGTATGCCCAGCACCCTGTCCTTCATTGAGGCTGCATAGTAAAAACAGAGGGAAAACTTCGGGTAAGAGAATAAAACACCATCAGAAAGTACTAAACCTAGGTATACAGGTGGATCAGAGAACAGGAGATGGGAGAGACAAAATAGACCTGGCATGGTGGAGGGACAATCTTAAGGATGCCGAGCTGCTGGGGATGAAGAGGTGTAAGAAAAGAGGCACTCTTCAAAATGGTGTAATGAAGAGGAACAGTAAAGGAAAAGGGTAACACTTAGGGGTACCAAACAAACAAAAAGAATTGAGAAAATTAGGAGACAATTTACTCCTTTTCTCCTGAAAAACAATAAATAAAAATTCACTGAAGTGCCAGGACAATTCTGCATTGAAGGAATTAAGTTGTACTAAATTAAGTATTAAATCACTCAAGTACTTTCCTCCCACAGGAAAGCTTACCAAATGTACAGAGAACTAATGCGAAAGTCATAAAATGAAATTCAGTATACATCACTGAGGAAAACACCCCGTGTTAAACAATAAAGCAAAGAATAACAGAAAGACAAATAATTTCCTTGAAATTAATTATACTTAAGCAAGCATGGAAGAACATGGAAAATAAAATTTATTCAAAAATCAGAATTAGAAACACAAATTAAAAAAATATATATATTAAATAGAATACATTGAATTCAGTGAAAAACAAACAAAAACAAGAAACAGACCCTATCTTATAAATGAAAAATAAATTATTTGGTGTCTAAAGGAGAATAGACTGAAATAGAAATTTAATAATGGAAATTTAAGAAGTATAAAAATCAAGAGAATGGTAGTGAAATATAGAAATAACAAAAAAATCTATATATTCAAAAGCGCTAGAAGGGATTTTGAACATTCTTACCACATATAAATCATAAATATGTAAAAAGTTTAATATATTTATCTTGATTAGAATATTGCACAAAATATACATGTATCATGATATCCATAAACATGTACAAATTTTATATGTCAATGTAAAATGACTCAGTTAATTTTTCAAAAGAATATAAGAAATTATTAGAGAAAAAATACTTAGAAAAAAAAGCCCAACAAAAAAGATAAAACATTCATATTGCTAAAATTCTTATGAGTAAAAGTACATCAAAGGATAAAAGCAGAACTAATATTTAAAATTATAATTCAAGAAACTTTCTATAAAGTAAAAAAGACCTGCAATTATTCACTGTTATAACTCATAGTTGCATGGAAATATTAACTTAGAAAGATCAATTACAATAATAAGCTAATTAAAATAATAGATTTCTAAGTTAAAGTAAGGTTTCCTTTATTATTTTAGATCAAACCAAAATCAAATCCTTTACAAATGAAAATAATTTAGATTTATGATCAACATTTTCACTGTAATCATTAAAAACAGAATGGGGAAGCATTTTAAATGCTGGTTAAACATTCCTTTATATTCTAATGCATTACAATATTTCACTATATAAGAAAATATAGCCCTCTGTACCTCCAGGTTCACATGAATGAACAACTGAGTAATAATCATCTAATGAAGGAATAATTAGGGAAACTTCAGCAAAATACAGGTAGTGAATATAGATTGAGAGAGGGTAGAAACTGACATTTGGATAATACATAGAATGATAAGTAGTAACAAGCCTACTGAAAAAGTGGAAGTGAATGGGAGAGTGAAAAAGGAAAATGAAAAATTAATTTAATTTTGTATAAAGGTAAGAAGAGTTAAAGAATATACATATGAACAGATAAATCAGACAATTATAAATGAAATAATTAAGAAATAAGAGGAGCAAATTGTTTGATACAAATTAAAACTGGTGAAGTACAAATACAAATCCTAGGTGAACTATCTCAAAGCCATTTTGAAATTTATTAACAAATAAAGAATATGGCCTAATATATCAAACATATTAATACATAAAAATTAGTTCAATTAATTTATTGAAATAAAAATTTCAAATTTGGTTTGTAGAGACCTAATTTTATGTTGTATATATTTTCCTAAACAAATTATCCTGAAAAACTGCCACAGTCTGGCTGGGCACAAATCACGAGCCACTGAAGCAGGAACAAACTTTATTTCTGAACTCCACCAGCACACTCCACACACGTTCCCCAGGAACTCCCCCGAACGCCACTCACGCGGCTCCTCCAGGAACCACCAACCGGAAATCCCCCATGGGCTGCATGCACACTCACTCTCGGAACCCCGTAAGAACTCAAAGGGAACTCCAAAGTAGCGGGCGTCCCACACAGCAAGAGCCATCCTATTACTGGACAGTAATGGTCTAATATACAATTGAATCAATCCAGCATCATCTTAATGGCTAGCCTCTCAACCATTACTTCTGGCAAAGTGCCAGGGGCCATTCCGACTCAGCTGTGGCTCTCAACATCTCCCCTCTTCTGTTTAATTAAACAACAAGCAATGTGGCTTAGGGACTGTGCCTGTTAGGTTGTCCAGTACTACATATGGTCCTTACCCATCATCGGATGAGCTGACCTCAAGGGGTCAGCCTCCTGTCTTAGGTTGGTACCACTGCAATTGGATCTTACCCGTCACTGACTACCAGTCCAGCATACATCCATACTTGTGGATAGGCCTATGCATCAGTGGGGGGGTGAGGTCCTTTGCCTCACCTCTGTTGGCCCCCAAATATGGCCTTTGCACCAGTGGGGGGGTGAGGTTCGTTGCCTCACCTCTGTTGGCCCCCAAATTTTAGACCATCACTAGCAGAAGGGGGGAGGATACAGAAATTGATGGCTACTATGGAAAAATTGTACCACCGGTGACACCATCAGCAAATAAATGCCAGCATTATCACAATTCGCTGCACCAACAGATAGTTCACAATGCATACAAGTGATACAAAGTCCAGGCAAGTTCTGCAAGCAGTTCAAAGCAGAGGAATCTATCAATATGTCCATTTCCTCCCAAAGTAAATTGACTCCTTGATTGTGCATTACTTGTTGAGTTATTATTCATTGATGCATCAGTTTATACAGTTTACCGTGATAGATATCGAAGAAGCTGTAGTTTGGTTTTATCTTTGTCTTCACTGGCACCAGGATGAAGATAGGAATTCTGGCAATGATGCCTAAAAAAAATTATGTAAATTCCAACAGGTACTAAGAAAACAATTTACATTATCTTGAACAGAATTATTAAATATAATGAAAAGGAAAGGTGAAAGTAAACAAACAGATCTGTTAACCTCCTTTTTTGTTCACATATTAAAACAATCCTCAACAGCTGTTTACCCAATTTAAATTAAACCATTTAAATCACATGAATAATAAAAATATTTGGATCCATTTTTTCATGAGCTCTCCTCATATATGATATATGGACATACGCACATACAGACATACAACACAAAACACAAGTGTGCACACATAACATACAACACATAAGACAATAGTAAAGACCTTGTAGCTTTACACAGGTGAAATCTCCATTGCAATGTTAAAAAACTCCACAGTCAAAAAATAGAACTGATCAGAAAAACATTAACCTAGGTCTGTATGAGCTCAAAAAATAAAATAGAACTTCATGATGTGGGAAAGGCAATAATAAAATAGATATTGAAAAAATACATCCTGGTTACCACCTGGGTTTGACTCTTATTTGGATATCCCATCCTTCTTCCTGTAACTTGCATATGGGTCTGAAGATATTCCCACAAGAAAGCCTCAAGGTTTTTTACGTTTGAAATAGGTTTTCATTATTCATTAGCCTCCAGGTGTGGGAGAACCTCTGTTGCAGATGTAAGAATAGCCAAGCTGGAGCTATGGATATCAGCTGTTATGGATTTGAGTCAAATCATCTTCTTTTTGGTCTGTAGAAATCGCTTTGGTTAGTCTCTCTGGAATGCAAATTGGCTGCTGTTCTCCCTGTGGAAACACACAAACAGAACCCCGACTCCAGACAATCACTGGGTCAGGACCTTTCCATTGTCCTGTTAGAATATCCTTCCAAAGTACCTTAGGCTTATGTACATTTTTTGGATACATATGCTTTTCCGCAGCACTAAGCCCTGATGAATTCAAATTTAAAAAGTTTAGAGTAAAAAGGGTTATTTTAAGTTTATCTTTGGGGGATATATACCCCTTTCCAATTCCCTCTTTTTCTTTTAATAAGTACATTTTAATAGTTTGATGAGCTCTTTCAACTATGCCTTGTCCCTGAGGATTGTATGGAATTCCTGTTATGTGAGTAATGCCAAATGATGAACAAAATTGTTTAAAAGAGGTGGAAGTATAACCAGGACCATTATCTGTTTTTAACTGTTTTGTAACGCCCACAGTGGCAAAATTTTCTAAGCAATGAGCTATAATATCTTTAGTTTTTTCTCCAGCATGAAGGGAGCCCATCAAAAATCTGGAAGAAGTATCAACTGTAACATGCAAATATTTTAATTTTCCAAATTCTGGCAAGTGTGTGACGTCCATCTGCCAAATATGGTTAGGTATCAGTCCTCTAGGATTGACTCCAAGATTAACTTGTGGTAAAAAGGTCACAGAATTTTGACATTGTTTTATTATTTGTCTAGCTTGTTCCTTAGTTATTTTAAAACAGTTTTGTAAAGTATTAGCATTGACATGGAACCTTTTATGAAAATTTGTAGCTTTTTCTAGTTTAGAGAAAATATGTATGTCATGTGTAGTTTTATCTGCTAAATCATTGCCCAAACTAAGGGATCCAGGCAATCCTGTATGGCTCTGATATGTCCTATAAAGAATGGATCTTTTCTGTCCCAGATTAGACTTTGTATAGTGGAAATCAAAGAGAAAACAGTAGAGGAAGGAGAAATCCTACCAGCTTCTTTAAGGGATACTATAGCATTAACTATATACTGACTATCAGAAAATAAATTAAATACAGAATCTTTAAACATCACAAAAAGTTGTAATACTGCATTAAGCTCTACCTTTTGAGCTGATTGTTTGGGTACTAAAAATGTAAAAGTTTGATCAGGGGTAACTACTGCTGCTGTACCATTATTTGACCCATCAGTGAATATATTTGGAGCATTCATGATAGGTGTTTTTCTTGTCATTTTTGGAAAAACTACAGGATGCGAAGACCAAAAAGATAATAAAGGATTAGATGGTAAGTGGTCACCAAATGAAACATTAGATTTACATATGATTATTGCCCAAGTATTTAACTCATTAGCTAACTCATCAATTTGATCCATAGTATATGGAGTAATAATTTTATTGGTAGAAATTCCAAACACTCCCTTTGCAGCTTTTATTCCTTGGAGTATTAATTGTCCTATAGCCTCAGGATACCTAGTAAGAATAGTGTTAGGAGAATAAGATAAATGTATCCACAATAATGGACCTTCTTGCCAAAATACTCCTGTAAGAATATTTTTGTTGGTATTACAATAAATAATAAAGGCAAACTTATATCAATTATATCCAAATGCATATTTTCCATATATGTTTCAATAATTTTTAATGCCTTTCTTGCTTCAGGCGTTAACATGCGGGGTGAATTTGGATCTCATGGACCTTTTAGGATATCAAATAAAGGTCCCAACTCTCCTGTTGGTATGCCTAGATAAAGCCTTATCCAATTTATGTCTCCTAATAACTTTTGAAAGTCGTTAAATGATTTGAGTTGATCTACTCGTATTTGAATTTTTGGTGGACAGACCATGGTTGAGGATAATAGAACTCCTAAATAATTTATTGGAAAATTTAATTGTACTTTATCTATTGCTATCTCTAGATTATAATTTTTTAATAAATTTGTAAGTGTGGCATAACATTGTAGCAATGTGTTTTTATCTTTATGTGCTAATAATACATCATCCATATAGTGAAATATTTGTAGTTCAGGATTTTGATTTCTATGTGGCTGGATTGCTTTGTTAACATTAATTTGACACATAGTTGGGCTGTTAGCCATCCCTTGAGGGAGTACTTTCCATTCATATCTCTGATCGGGACCTTCATGATTTAGTGCAGGGATAGTAAATGCAAAACGTGGACTATCCTCAGGATGAATTGGAATTGAAAAAAAATTCTTTAATATCTATAGCTGAAACATACCAGGTTTTTGGCAAAGCAGACAATTGAGGAATCCGTGATTGAGCAGGTCCCATAATAACCATCTCATTATTAATGGCCCTTAAATCTTGCAATAATCTTCATTTACCAGATTTCTTTTTAATGACAAAAATGGGAGTATTATGGGAAGATACAGAAGGTTGTATATGTCCCTCTGCTAATTGTTGTTTGACCAGGTCATGGGCTGCATGTATCTTTTCTTTAGTCAGGGGCCACTGAGAACCCATACTGGGCTTTCTGATTTCCAAGTAATTTTTATTGTCTCAGTGACCCCTTCTGAAAACCCAATCCATGTCTATTTATTCCTTGATCTATTTGAATTGGTGCTGCTATACCTTGTTCTTGTTCTCCTAATCTTTTTTCTTTCCTAAAACCTTGTCTAGCCCTAATAGTGGGCGCATTTGGATTGATGTTATTTGTTAATGTCAAACCTAATTGATCTAGGACATCTTGTCCCCATAAATTTACGGGAAGATGATCCAATACATATGTCTGTATAGTTCCTTCACATCCTTCAGGATCCTTCCAATCTAATACCATTGCACTTCTATGGGGATTAGTTGCCACTCCTAGGCCTCGAAGCATTTGAGTGGCTTGTTTTAATGGCCAATGTTTCGGCCATTCTTGACGAGAGATGATGCTAAGGTCTGCACCTGTATCAAGTAGCCCATTAAATTCATGTCCTTGAATATTTAGTTTTAGCATTGGACGAGAATCTATATTTAAAGGCAGCATAGCCCAATCTACACCTTTGGAGCCTAATCCCCTGGAACCTCTTTCTATACTACTACTGGAAACTTTATCATGTAGGCTAGGTATTATTAATAACTGTGCTATTCTATCTCCTGGTGAAATTACTGATATACCATTTGGAGAATTAGCTATAATTTTTATTTCACCTTCATAATCAGGATCAATTACCGCAGGACTTATCATAAGTCCTTTAAGAGTAGAAGAACTGCGTCCTAACAATAAGCCTACTGTTCCTTGGGGAAGAGGTCCTTTTACTCCTGTGGGAATGATTTGAACTCCCATCTCTGGAGTTAGTACTGCTCTGGTGGAGGGGCAGATGTCCAACCCTTTGCTCCCTCTGGTTTGTCTGATGAGAGATCTGATGGATAATGTGTCCTGGGCACTACCATGATGGTGTTGCTGGGTTCCTCCATGGTGTTTCTGGGTTCC